TGGTCATAGTGTCCCATTAGCTAAATCAAAATTGTTCGATAGATGTAGCTGAAGTTATTGCAGTAACCTGAAATTCATTGGGTCAGAATAGAGGAAAGATATCTCTACTGAACAGGCCTACATCAGAGCGTTAAATGAGTAAACATTTGGTGAAGTAATCAGCAGGTAAAAGGTGGGACGGTGCTAAGCGAGAACCAATGAGGCGAACACTGTACAACGATGAATTTTCGGTGGGAAACTCACAGAGGCGAGCAAATTGACGCACCAGGGCACCGGATGCCATTGATCGTTGTTTTTCAATTGTGTGCAAATCCACGTGTAGAATGCACAAATCCAGCAGATAGGCTATACGCAGAGTGAGAGACAGCGCATCACTCATGGTCATCCCCTCCACCGTTTCAAATGTGCCAATATCACCCTGTGATTCCGGATTCGGTGAGAGTTTTGCGGTCGGGAGAGGAGCGGAAGGATAAGTTGCCAGATTAAGGGTGATATTCAATTGATTCAGTGCTTCTAAGTTGGGCTCAAGGCGGTCGGGACAAATGGGTGTCAGGAACTATTGTAACCGGTAGTAGTGATTGGTAAACCTTACGGTCGATACCAACTCAAGTCGAAGGGTTTTGTGTACAGCAGATTGGATGAAAAATTTATCAATGAACGGTGTATAGAACCATATTGGAACCAAATAGTGGAACTCGAAGCCTAAACAAACTTTACGTGGGATGATTCTATTCATGGTGCGACATTTCGCGCTTATGATGCATCAAAGTCTTATCGCACCGACAAGCACAACATATGTAGCACTGGATAACTCGTTTCTCATCAGATATTTCGAAGAGTTTCAAATTAAAACAATTGCCCATTGAGAATATTTACTGCAATCAGATAACTCTTTTTCACAGACCGCTGTTTGTGTTTGCAGAGTGCATTTCAGTGGTTGAGATTTCCTTCAGTCCCCATATATTGAATACAGAACACTTGTGATAGAAATTAGTTTGTGTTCGAGAGCTGACTAAAATCAGTGGGAAGTTTTTCGTCCTTGCTGGGATGCGTCAGTATTGTGCACTACTTATTTTCTTTTGTTTTTGCCGGGAGTCGAACCGTAACTGTTCGAATTAGGATTCGATACTGTGAGTCCGGAACTGCATGTTCAACTGTATACCGGGTAAATAGCTGCATCTGCTATCCCTGCTTGTCACATTTCCTCGGAGAGAAACCACCACAAACCCCACCCCCAGACAAGTTCAGCAATATTGGGTAAAGTTTACAGTTGAAAGAGGATATCCATTCTCGTAACGTCGTGTTCGCATTGCCTATTACCCATTCTCTTTATCCATGTGTGATGAGTTCTGCAAGTTCTGAGGAACCCATTTTCGATTGTGAGAATCGGTAACCAAAGTTCCGGGCAGGCAGACTAAGTATGAGGTGTGATACACACTTCTGTGATGAACGACACAGAGTCAAGAAGACCTACTATTCAGTGATGCCAATCGGTAACCTAAGCGCCGGGACTAGGAGTGGCGAACTACATAGCTACCCGCTAGGTTTCTTGTCTTATTGAACCAGACGACGGCAAAGCTACCTATCACCACTCTTGCACTGTACGGACTAGTTCAGACCACCAACTGAAACCGCTAGGTTAACATACAGAGAGCAGTTATCTTCGGGGAGCTTTGGAGTGAATTGTATCCCCTTCGTTATAAGGGCATTATCACCAAACCCCTTTTATTCTGTATTCTCTGTTCTACAGACACCAGTATCTGATGTTCAAAATGAATTTAACTCACTGACCTAATTTGATGTCCGTCTCGAACATCAATAAGAACAAAATTTACAGCGATTCAACAAATGAGATTTGACAGCATGAGTTATCGATTGAATCACACTTGTCTTCATAAAATTCGCGACAATGCTCCAATTGGAACATGAATGATACGAAACAATTGAAAACTGTGTTTCAAGGCATGGGGTTGTCAATAAATTCGTATTTATTCTGGAGTTTCACAGTATACTTTCTCTTGTAGCTTAGAGCTGAAATTCTTATCGATCGGTATGTTTTAATTTTTAGAAACAACTAGCTTTGTGTATCACACCCCATCCAACAAAATCAATTCAAAGCAACGTTATTTGCGATCGTATCACATGCTCCCCGATTATGCAACGGTTGGAATGTGATTCATGCAAATTCTACTGTATACAAACAATGTCACAGCGGGTCCCGCGGACAGAATCGCTAACTCAGTTAGTATACTCAACATTAGTGCATAACGGTAACAATGAGGTTATTGAATGAAATTAATAACAAATCCGAACACATTTTAGCCTGAACCCAGATATCTCTGAGACTGAAAGATGACGATGAAATGTGATGGCGCGATGTGTTTTTTGGTTCTGTCTGTCAACTTAAGGGGGGAAGGGCATTTATAAAGGGGAGATTTTTTCACATTTAGACTCTTGGTGCTTAATTTTAGTTGGTAAAGTCGATAGATTTCGCCGTTTAGAGCAAAAGTGGGTTAAAAGGGTTCAAGCAGTCGCCCTAAAAGAACACCAGTTGGAGACTGGTGTGATCCCATTTGAGCTGATCTCAAATAGATGATAATATTCAGTACAGCAACTGGAGTTCAATGTGTGTAAAATAAACATGCGAATAACTTTTTGGTGCGAGCCGCATGCAACCATAATAATAATTTAGTAATCTTCAGACTGTCATTAACTGGATGTACAATTGCACAGTTATTGATCAAAAAAGATCGTGATCGTGATTGGAGACTGACAAACAAGAAATAGAAGAAGACGGCGACGGTGGCGGGGTTCGAACTCACAAACTACGAGACAAAGCGCAGACAGTTTAAACCGCTTGACGACTGCTACTCCTGCCGGTGTTGAGTGGTTCATAAGTCAAACGAAAAACTTGGTTCTCGTTCTTCTTTAACACTAATCAAATATTAAAAAGTTTTATTCGGTTAGGAAACAGCATGGAGAGTTCAGTTGAGAATATCATTTGGCCACAAGCAGAACTGGGTGCACAGTACAATGCAATGGCAATTGCATAGGCCGTGGATGAGCAAGCGAAATAAAATGGTCCGTTGAATTGTTAAAATCATCAGACACCGGGTATACTTATTGATTGAAACCAATACGGTAAACGCGTCTAATAACCAAGAACAAAAGGTCAGCAGTTCATTGCCTCTAACCCGGTCAGACAAGGCTACGTCAGAATGACACGGTCAGAGCACACGAAGGTTTCTTTTCTTGGTCTCATTAGGCTGTGTTTAGTGAGGTACGACGAGGTTTGAGAAATTTAAAACAGAGGAGACGACCGAGCATGGGACAGAACTGAACACCATAGATGAGTGCAACTCACCGTTGCAGTAGAAGCGGCGGCTAACAGGGGAAGCAAACCACCACTAGCCGAGACTAACATATCGGTGCAATCGGACAGGAAGTGAATCAGATTGATGGCAAATGTGGCATTACTCGAATCCTCGAACAGGGTGAACGCCCGTGTCTCCGGACTGGATGCGTTCTGTCCGGTCCCATCGTCTTTCGAGGGGGCCGAAGGTGGAGATAGGGTAATCCCAGTGCTCTCGCCTCGAACCGGATAAAATAATCCCGGTTTATCCGTACTGGATCGGAGAGACACAATGCTGGGTAGGATAAGAGAAACAGGATACAGAAAGTGGATACGGTGGGGCAGTAAAATGTGCATCGCATTGGAGAAGTACAGAGAATTTAGGAAAAAAGCATGAATGAAATATGCATCCCGCTGAACGATTTAACGAAAACCTCTGCGGATGTTACTGGTCATTTATACGTTATACCTCGTGAAATGCTCCTATACAGCGAAGCATCTCAAATATCCACTGACGAGAAGGCTCGGTTCAATACCCTAAATTAAGAGAGGGATGCTTCGCTACCAAGGTGAGAGAACGACATCCGGGTGGTACAGCTGGATCGGTGAACTACTGGTGGTCTACCAAAAGGAGCTGGCAAGAAAGCTTGATTCCAAATCGATCGACGTTCCTGGTTCATGCCNACCCTTCCAACGGACCTATGATCTAACGAACTGGACATCGGCCCCAAAGGATCGTTATAAAGAATATTGTACGGGGACCTGTATGACACAGTTTGGACTTCGACAAAAGTGAAACACAAAGGGGCATATTGTACAACGAAGCTGATGAGGTTAAAGCACATTGGGTGCCTATAAACAGAGAAAAGAACGAAGATGAGAGTATATCTGCCGCAATTTATGATTCGATCAAGTAGATAGTGGGAACAACCGGTGTCTTTCATATGGCTCGCTTATCGGCTGACAGTATTCTATGTTTTGCAGGTAATCCACAGATCGGTTACTTCGCAATAACTGTGAAAGTACACACAAGAGTGTACTTGTGGTAATGCTCTCGTAGAACAGTAGTGATGGAAAGATGTGAGAAAGTGATCCGACAAAACCGCGAAGATCGATTCCGCAAGTATAGTTCGACCAGGCACTGACTGGATAAGATCCAACCAATTGATGATTGAAAATCTCCGATGACGCCACTCAATTTGAAAACCAGTCCCATATTTCCAAATCCATTTACTTGCCTGTTTGTGATTCGGTCAACACTTTTGCATTCATACATGTTCTCATTTGTGATATATTTCTCTGTTGCCGACTATTTCGTCTTGTCCTAGCAGCAACAGTGTCAGCAGTATCCCCAAAACAGAGCCGTGCAGTCAGGTAAATAATGAGAGCAGAATGCAGTAGTGCAGTCAGGTGTACAAATCTGTTTTCACAGTCAATTCAATGACCATAAATTTATTTATTGTTATTAACTGTCGGGATGAAAAAAAATGATAGCTCAAAATGATTGTGTTTACTCATTTAGTGCTCTTTTTTATCATATACCTTGATAAAAAAGGTATAAACCCTGGAGTCACCGTCTTTTACTGTTCAGTGATGAGAGCCGCTATCCCATTTGCCCTGAGGCTCAGAACAGCGAACTAAATAAGGCCCTGATGGGCTGGGGAGTGATATTGAGCAGGATCACAGCAAAAACTACTGATCGCTGATGTGGGCTCGCAGGGTTTGAACCTAGACCCGGAGAACACTTTCAACTGAATACAGCCATACATAGTTTTCCGGGTTTGCTCAGTGGATTGGGTGCTAATTGGAATGCATCTGACTGTGAGTAAAAAGTTGACTCACCCTAAATCTTCTTCAATGGAACACAGTAAGTCGTCGAGAAGCAGTTGGTGTAGCATTGACCATCGAAAATCGCGCAAAAACAATGTGCCACGGGAACGACGTGCAGGTGATTGAACCGCCATGGTTTGATCCGCTCCGGAGACGGACGCTTGTGTCATGGAGTCACGCGTCATCGATCCGCCGCTATCAGTCGGAACTTTAGAGAGAGAGGGAAGAACAGGTGGATTTACCTAGACGGCAATTTAAAACATCAGGACGAACTCGAAATCATCAACGAATTTAGTGTAAACTGACTGTGCCACTAGAACAAATGGTGGAGAATTCGTACCGCACCTTAGCGTTTTGAGGGACCGTTTACATAACACATGGCATCCTAACGGAAAATCACAATAAACGTGAAACAATAAAAATGGTTCATGAACTGTGGAAAGCACCGGCTAAACAAATTACTCAATCTGCTCGACTGAATCCGCAAGCTGATTCGACGGTGTATCAAAACTAAAAACGACTGACCACCAGTTGACTGAAGAACAAACCCACACACGGTTCAGTCAACTCTCAAAAACTCAGACACACGGATCAACATGCGAACAAGTGAACGTGGCACACGCACAACTGCAATTGAGGTGAATTGGGTTGATAAGCTGTGAAAATTATAGCTGATAGATAGATCATTTTCTGAAGCCAGTCACAGTGAGACAAGAAAGTCATATGTCGGGTACATGTAGACGACGGTCAACAGCTTGGTGCTTTGACATTTAACCGAGCCACGGGAAACCGATAGTAGACTCAGGTATCAGGTAATCTCATGTGCACCACAGAGAGAATCAATGAAACCCGGAGACCCTAATCAAGAAGTACTTTGAACTGAGCAAAGAAATGGAGTTTGGAAGGGATTTGAGGGCAGCGTAGTTCACATCCCGTTGAGGTTGCTAATATCTTCAAAATCCAAACGTGAGAGCAAATGTCACTTGATGATCTGCCGAAACGGAAAGATTTGGAATAAAAATGGTTTCTTCGTTTGCTGGCGAACAAATAGGAAGCGTTTAGGACAAGCGTTACTCCAAAAGAACCGTGCAATACGAGCAGATTTTTCCCCAAGATCGCACATGGAGGAACAGGCAGAGCGACTCGAAAAATATGATTTACCTTGTCTTGAATGTGTGTCCTTCTGCAACAACAGTCGTAAATTGGCTTTCAAAGAGGAAGGGGAATTCGACAACCGGTTAAGCAGTGAGAAACTCCTCCTTGACATGAAATGCAATTATAACTAGCTTGATGACTGCTTTATGTCCACTTCTCTCAAACGCGAACCGTTCTCTCTCACTCTCTCGTTAAATTTGAACTCAAACGTCCTTCGTTCCACTGATTCATGCAACCTATTGGGACTATCCTTATTGTCTCTTCTTACAATACATGTGTCTGCTTACCAATCGGTTCGCTCTTCGGCGCTAAACGTTGTTTTAATTTCATTCAACTTCTCTCGCCTTACAAATTTCAAATTCGCTCTACGGCAGTCGTGTATGTGGTAGAGCCTCGTCCAACACTATTTCTTCTTGATCGGGGACAGTGTAAGCCGACCCGTTCCTAACTTACAGTCACTAGTTCACCACCAAGCAGTCGCTTCCTTGTCCTTATTCTACCGATAGTACTTTGGTTTCTGTTCTACTATCCTTTTCTCACTTCCTCGTAGATCTCGTACACAAGTAGCTGATCACCTAGTCCAAGTGACTATCCGCAGTTGTCGCATTTGTACCTTTGGATCCTCTTTTTTTCAAACAACAGTACAACTCACTTTTTTTCATTTTTACCTCTTCTTATGAAAGGTGCAGTAGCACAATTTTCAGGGGAGGGGAAGCGGTCAATCAATGGGCTACCGTACAACAACATATGATAGGGAAAGTCGGGCTGTGGTGGTGGGATTTGAACACACTTACTCCGGGATGATAATTTAGTGACGCTACCACCGGGCCAACCCCTCTCTGTGGAACACTCACCTCGTTGTAGTCTTCTTTTCAACTCACAATATCCTTATCTTTAAAATTAGGAGCCAACAAGCTGGTTCTAGCTTGAATGTTCCCTTTGCCATCGTTAGATTACGGGGTTGAGCACTTTTGCTGTATTCAGTTCTGCATATTAAAAAATGTATTAAACCTGACAGCACTCGCGAGAAATTAACCAACCGGTAAAATGCTTGTCGGCACTTGTGCACCACATACAGAGGACGGAAAAGAATCTATTGCAAAACGTGCAGAAAAAAAATCNAAAAAAATCATTATCAATGGCGCCGTTCAATCCGTTTGAGTCAGCCCGCTCATCGATCTAGTGGTCGCATGGCTTAAATAAATGTTCCGTTAACAAGTGGCGGTTCATAACAAAACCAGGTCAAAGGCTCAGGTTGTGAATTCCCCAAGCAACTCCATCTCCTTTGGTTCGAGTAACCCGGTAGTATTCCGGTAAAATCAAACCATGAAACGCTTTCCTGTATAAAGTTAATTGTACTGTGATTTGTTTCGCACACAGTCTCTACGATAAACCAGGACACGTTATTCACAACTGGGAACAATTGTTTGATCGCCAGGCGGGGTATTCTTACGAACAGTTTAGCTGGTCTAGCGTTAGACAAATTAATTCGTCAACTGAAGCTGAAGCAGTGTTTAGTGTCATGACAAAGGAAGAGAGAAAAAACATTTGAGCCTGACGGGCTTCGGATAGCAGTCTTCAACAAATTTTTACTCATACTTCGACATCCGACACCTATAGGATATCAATATCCGCCAACAACACGCAATATTCCAACTTAGAAGCAGCTGCATTAGATCTCTGTGTCTAATCCCTGAATTGTTCCACACACCCAAGCACATTATCGACCCAAAATAGGAGTGTTTCTAGATTCAGAAGAGGTTTTTGACCCAGTCAACTGTGAGGCTATCTTCAGTGTCTTTCTTCGTGAAGGAAAACTCCGAAAGTAATGGAAACGATGTTGAATGACCGTATCTCGGGATGCGGATGTTGGTAAATTCTCCGAGCTGGACATGTTATTCTCAGACGTTCCGTAGCAAAGCTAGGCACTGATGATGTTGCCTAGCTTGGCTATGAAACGGATGGTAGTCACCAGGGCTACTCGACATGCCCAATTAAGGTCGCACATGAACTAATTGGCGAAGAGCTAGTAATTATCGAGGCACGTTTGGCTACTAGTGCTTAAAAAGTAGTAAAGTTAGCTTCTAAAAGAAAGTATGAAGGAAAAAACGGAGATTCTGAATTGAAAGATGAAAACTGTCGTTCAGTAGACACCCACAGGGAATGATTACCGCAATTTTCCAAGCAGAACGACCACTTCGTTGTTATTCAATATTCCCGCCCCCCAAGAAAAAGAATATGTTGGTTTCATTTCAAAAATCCCCTCCCCCTCAAAACGACCCAATTGAACTAGGGAAATTTCCACTTACCCGGCGGTTCGACACTGGATACTTTCGAACCATTAGGGGGACTCGTCGCTTCGGATGGAGCGATATCGGTGATATGATTTCCCGGGCTCAGTTCCGACTGGATCATACGCCGAGCATCTGGTTCGGTCAAATCAACACCAATATCCTCGACAGAGGACCTGGTATTGGATTGTCTGGAATGTACCGACGGTGTTGTGCGACTGGATCCCGGCTGATAGTGTATGGACGAAACATCCGATGATTGTTATTTGCGTGAAACAAATTCCAGGGGTGACATTAGTCAATTACTCAGAACAACCATGGAAACAGTAAAGGGACGAAATGAATGTCATATAATAGTAAACAAGCCGTAATGTGCATCAATCAAACATACCGAGGAGGTTGCATTGAAATGATCGCATTTCTCCAACCACATGTGTAATAGAGCCAACGTATCAATCCATACCCGCCATCCTTCACGCTCGTACCGTACGGCGTGGAACAGCAGGGTACGAAACAGCCGCATTGTGGTGGCCAGAGTAAATGCGTCCAGACCGGAT